GGGAAGGGGAGGGGGAGGGGGGGGAGGGAGAATAGGCCAGGAAAAAATTATTGTACAAAAACAAAAGAAAAATAGGATCCGGGGGAAGTTTGAGGGGAAAAAATGAAAGAAAAATGGTCACCTGTCCCTTTAAGAGCAGCCATTTTGAACTCTGTTCTTCATGGCACACCTCCGACTGCACAGTTTAAGAAACACTGTCCTAGATACTGTGGGGTTCCTCAGTCGTGTTTCACCAGAAGTAATGTAAACACCCAGCTGCTTGAGTACTAGAGATTGGCTCGCCCCCTTTTCTGCTGCCATTCAAAGATCACCAGGGGGCGGCAGGAGTTTGTCAGCACGGCAGCCAGTACAGCAAAGTACTTACGAGAAGGAAGGTGCTTGCTATGTTGGCATGGGCATACTCTGATCTAGTTGATACAGTCACCAAGCTCGCTCTGCATCTCAAACTAAATGTTATACTAAGCAAGACTGCACAAGCAGCAGGCAAACAAGTATCTTACCTAAATCCCACTCCGTCACCTGCTGCGCTTTGGTGGTTCAAAGCTGAATCAAGTCTTTGCTACTTACATGCGACTTGCAGCAAACTTAGGCCATGTCTACACTCCATAAGAAAGTCAACTTAACACACACAACTCATCTCTGAGAATAGTGTAGCTAGTCGATGTACTCTAAGGAGAATTTCTGCCGCATCCCCATTGTATGAGGGTCCATTGACTTCCCTTACTCTTATGACCCTGTAGAGTACCAGGGTGCCATCAGCTGTCGATTTAGAGGGTCCTTACTAGACCCACTAAATCAAACCCCAGAAGATCAATCTCCAGGACTTCGATCTCAGAGTACACATAGACCTGGCCTTACAGAAATACTCTCCAACCCTTTGTGTCTTCCTACAATTACCAGGACTGAAAGCAGTGACAGTGTGCAGGCTTGAGAAAATAGGCGGCCTTCTCTCTGGGTACCACCCCTTTCCTCCTCACTCCCAGACCAGATGGATCATTTAGCAGTCTTTTTTGATCTGAGGTAATCTTCTGTGAAGGGGGTGGGTAATGCGATTGCTTCCGAATACAGCACAAAGTGTAGAATTTTCAACAGTGGCTGCAAGGTTGAGGACCTGGCCATCAGAGAATAACTGCCTCCCCTGCCCCATGTCACTCCTGTTAAGGTCCTCTAGGACCCCAAGATAGATTCCCACAACTGAACTTTCCATAATCTGTGCCAGAAGATTCTCAACTGTGGGGAACTTGCCTGTGGAACTTGCTGGCTGGGACCATTCCATCTCAGGAAACATGTAACAGTGTAAGTGTTCCCCACATTAGGCTGGCTTTGATTGTTCATTTAGAGCAGACATTTCCTAAAAACCTTTAAATGCATCTTCAGTTCTGATGTTATGGCAATAGCAGTAAGAGGGAAATCATGGAGTGGGACAGAATTGGATCAGCAAAATCAAGGATTTTTTTTTCCCCTCCCCCCAATCCTGATTCTACTTATTCAAGAGCTGTTTTTCCCCTTTCTGCACATCTGAAATGTGTTTTAGCTGTGAAGTCCCCAGAGGACTTTGTGTTCCAAAAGATTAAAAGGTCTTTGAGATTATTCTTTTTAACAGACCAAAAATTGGTTGAGGCAGGAAGCTCTAATTGTTAGCTAATGTGGGTTTTCTGATGTACAAATTACAGAGATGCCAAAATGTAGCAGCTGAATTCTGTTCCAACATTCGGCATTGTAAGTCAATTTACACAGTAACAACGATTCCTTAACGTTAGGTTTCCAATAAAACTGACCCTATTTCCCCATTTTCTACTCAAATCCCAAGAACAAAGCACTAACGAAACTGGCAAAGGGGTACTTTTCAGTAAGGGTACATGTAGACTACATGATTCTTTCAAAAGAAGCTTTTTCGAAATAATCTTTCGAAAAGCTTCTTTCGAAAGATCGTCTAGACAACCACTTTTTTAAAAAAAAAAAGATCCGCTTTTTCGAAAGAGAGCACCCAGGCAATCGAGATGCTCCCTTTCGAAAAAGCCCCGTTTGTGTTCAAGAATGCTTTTTTTTATTTGTCCTTTTCATGTGTTTTTTTTATTGTATTCTTTGGTATATATGGTCGTGCCGATTTTCTTCCACAATTTGATCTGAGGAAGTAGGTCTGGCCCACAAAAGCTCATCACCTAATAAACCATCTTGTTAGTCTTTAAAGTGCTACATAGTCCCGCTTTTTTTTTTGAAAGCTCTTAAAAAAAGGCATTCTTCCTTGTAAAATGAGGTTTACCGCTGTCGAAAAAAAGCCGCATTCTTTCGATTTAATTTTGAAAGAGCACGGCAGCAGTCTAGACGCAAGTGAAGTTTCTTCAAAAAAGCCTGTAGTCTAGACATAGCCCGCTTCATTACATGGAAACATATGCAGGGTGTGAAAAGTACAAGGGAAACCATAGGATTTTGCAGAAATGAAGACCCACAAGCCATTGAGGAACTGTTCCTACAGAGGACTAGGCAAGCCCCCAGACAATGGTAGTTTAATTTTTCTGTTATGAAATAGGGAGGAGGAGAGGCTTACTGGTTCCAGTGACCTAACAGGTGCTGGAGCAGTTCCCCACCTGGCCACCTCCCTCACCTGCCTCTCCCCGCCCCCACACTAGTGGGAACTGGAACTTTAAGGAGTTCCATTTAAGAGCAAGAATAGGCTCCTAAAAAGCCAGGGCACATACTTCACAAGGGCCTTTTGGTTTTGGTGCAAGGAGCTGTATCCGCGTGCAGAACCTAAATGGTTTCTGTTCAATAGCAGGAACTGGAAACGGGGAGCCAGTCCCATGCAACCATCAGTTCTGAAAGCTGGTTCACTCTTCCGCTTGGGATATGGGATACAAGTAACCTGAGTTGTTCAATGGGGGACCTCCTGTGCCAGAAAAATCTATGGGAAGGTGGGGCTGAAGAACCAGGATAAAACCTTTGACATACCTGGTGCAGCCACCTTGGGTTCCTACCATTGGGGAGATCTTACAGCCACGTCAGTAAAACACCATCAGCATGAAAATGGCTAGTGGGCTAGAAAGAGTTTAACACAACGGGTTTCTGCACAGTCCTGCGCCCAGAGGTACGTAAACGTCTGCTTCATTCGCCAGATCGGCAGACGGGGCGCCACACTGTGCCCCATGCCACTGCTTGCTGGAGAAGGAAGGACTGCCTGGGAGTTCTAGCCATGGCACTTTCAGTAAAACACCATCAGCATGAAAATGGCTAGTGGGCTAGAAAGAGTTTAACACAACGGGTTTCTGCACAGTCCTGCGCCCAGAGGTACGTAAACGTCTGCTTCATTCGCCAGATCGGCAGACGGGGCGCCACACTGTGCCCCATGCCACTGCTTGCTGGAGAAGGAAGGACTGCCTGGGAGTTCTAGCCATGGCACTTGCACCCAAGGGACTGACCTAGTGGGGAAGGGGAAGAGAATAAATGGTCAGGCTGTAATATTTGCATGTGCCACTCATGTTCACATTCCTCACCACTACCAGGGCAGAGAATGGAAAAAGGGAAACAATTCTCTGAGTCTGGGATTCTCACCGGGACCGTTGGGGTCTGGTTTGGGAAGCTCTCGTCCCACAGACATACACTGCACACAGCAGAGAGCAGGACCCACAGTTATCTGTAGCGCGACCAGATATCCCATTCTTAAAGGGACAGTCCCATGTTTAAACCCTTCTGCAGGTGTCCCAAGTTTTTCTTAAAAAGGGGCAAATTGTCCTGTATTTTCATTCTCGCCACTCCGATCAGTGCCAACAGGTCCTGCTGCCAGCTGAATTCCTGCCCAGCAGCAGTGACTGGGGACTAATTCTGAGGGTGGATGTTGCAAGGCTGGTGGGGGGGCGGGGGGGGAAGATGCAGCTTTCGGGCCAGCTGCTCCCCCAGCTGGTCTGTCAGCAAGCCCCACAGCATGCCACTCTCAGCCCCCAGGGCTCCGCCCCCCCCTACACATTTCACCTCCACTGCCTGCCCATCAGTCTTTTCTGTGCTTCCCCTCTTGCCGTCCTCTCCCTGCTTCTCCCCTTCACCTTCCCACCCCCCTCCAGCCCTGTTGCTCCTCCGCAGTCCACCTCCGGCGTGCTGCATCCTGCCCCCACCGCTGTG